TTTTTTTTTATAGATGATTGGAAACCCTCCCTGTTTCTTTCCTTTTTTTTTTTTTTTTTTTTTTTTTTTTTTTACAAAGTTTTAAAAATTTATTTATTTCAAACCCTAAAAATAAAAACAAAAACAGTGGTTCTGTAAAAATGACAAAATTCCTATAGTAGATATTTATCTTTTTTCCTCAACGGGTCATGTAATCTTTGCGGCTCTAAGAGAGTTTAATTTCACTGGAATGAGAGTGAAAATGGCTCTTTGGATTGCAAAGGTTGCACATTCCTGATTTACATCTAAAGCATCTTACCTGCTGAAACTTGCATTCAGAGAAATAAACAGCTTTTTCACCAGACTTCAGCTGTAATTAAAACTACATTTTCCCTACATGTGAGCCAAATTTTGGCCCTGATGCCCAAATCAAACTGAGGATTAAAAAAAAACACAAATACACAAATTGAACCCTAACATAATATTTTTAGGGAACTGTAAATCTAGTTTACTGCCAACAAACTGGTCCTAAAAGTGAGCAGAAATTCATAAAAACAGAGTTTCTGCAGGTTTCACCAAATCAAATTTAAGACTTTTTAAAGTCATCACGGATGGAATTGAAGTCCGATGTGTCCGCAGAAATGTACGAACATTGTACAGCCAATGAGTGTCAAAACAGCTACCTAGCTAGCAAGAGAGTACTAGTAGCTACTTAGCGGTAGCCTCAACCACAATATGCTTCTGTAGGTCTGAAACGCCACAGAAATGTACAAACATCATCATTTATCAGGAGATAAATTTAAGCAAAAAAATTCTAGCTAGTAAGGAAGGATATATTAGCAGCTAGTTAGCGAAAGCCTCAACCGTAACACATATTCGTAGAGCCGAGTGTTGCTCAAACTTTTACCTGACAGAAAAATCCCACAAGAAAAAGAAAAACATAGAATATATAAGATCAAACAATCCAAAATTTAAGACCTGTGATTGACGTATTTAAGGCCAACTTAGTCTTTTTTAGTTAATTCAAGACATTTTTAAGGCTTTAAATGTGGATGTGTGAATTTAAAACTATTTTAAGGACGTGTGGGCACGCTGCTTAATAACCATGCGTAAAAATGAAGCAAATAGTAAATATTTGAGGTCGGGGAAAGCAGCTGTCGTCGCCCTGATCTCACCGCTGAAGGCTGCTTGCGAAGGCTGAAGGCTCTGGTGTCGCCCAGACTCAGAGACGCGATGGTGGGCGTGGGGCCCAAAGAGGCCTCGTCGTCGCTGTGCCAGCCGATGCTGTCGTGTCCGTCTCGATACAAGTTACACAGCAGCGAGTTGAAGGTGCAGCCGCTGGCCTGCTCCACCGCCTCTCTGAGGGCGACCAGCAGCGGATGCCACTGCGTGGAGAGGAGGAGGAGGAGACGACGATGAAATGATTCAAGATGGGAATATTGAGAACATCGTCACAGAGCTGTTAATCTACGGTGGAGTATCGGGAACTAAAACAAAAAATTATTGTGGGCATAAAGTTATAATATTACAATAATAATATATCATACAAGAAAAAAAAAAGTTGAAATAAAACGAGAATACGGTCGTAACACTACAACTTTATTCTGGTAAATTACAGTTCTCGTACTTTGACTTCAATCTTGTATTATTTTGACTTTATTTTAATAGTATTATGGCTTTATTCTCATAGAATTATGACTGTATTCTCGTGTTTTCACTCATTTACTTTTTCTTTGCGTGGCCATAATTGTAAATCTGTCAAAATAAATAAATAAATAAATATGCGACAAGAAAATAAGATAAAAACACAGCTGTGTGAAATAAATTTGGGTGTTCTTAGACTTCACCCCTAAACTTCAGTAAATTGTAAAGTGACATTACATCACAGATCATCACAAAGCAGCATAAACCGCTTCATGTTGAAAGAAATACCCTAAAAGATGCAAAAAATAATTATTATTCCATTTTTAAGATAGGAGTATAAACATTTCATTGCCTAAAAGGGAATAAGTAAGCATTCCTTTAGTGGACGCTTGATCATTTGTAGCAAATAATCCATAAAAATGCCTCCAACATCAACATGTGAAAAGCTCAGGCCTTTCTGCTCCACTTATCAATACAGTGTGGAGCTGAACTGTTGATTACGTTTTGGATTCACCGATTAACAGCTGGACAGCGTAGGCCCTTAACAGGAGAGTTTTCTTAAACAGAATTTGAAGTTAAAACTATGAGACAAGTTGAGGAAATAATAAATCGTGTATATATTTCTGTTCAGTTTTGGCTCACTTACTGTTCTGACTATGCTGTTCTTTCAGCAAATGGCCTTTTTTAGAGTCTGTAAACTCCAGTTAACAATTAATTGATTACTGGTTTCAATAATCGATTGATCACGATTAATCAGATCAGCCTGATTAATTGTTTCAGGTACCTGTGTGTTGGCAGCCATAGTGGAGCGAGAGTATGTATACGGTAACTCTCCGAACCAGCAGGTGAGCCTGGGCTCTTCATACGCCTCACCTGGACAAATAGACACAATCAGAGCGTCACAAAAATGTTCATGTTCATAATAAGAATGAGAAAGTCACAATAATGTTTATTAGAGCGAAAGCATTTAATTATTATTATTATTTTTTTTTAGAAATTCAATGCACTTCTTTAACACAAACATCAAAACTGTGGCAAGCCTTAAAATCCTTTCTGAATTGACTTTTCTTCACAGAAAACAGCAGCAATTTCAAAATAAAAGCATCCCTAATGTCTTTAAACAACATCAGTAAATAAATTGAACCTTTTCAAGTTGAACAGAGCAGGAAGAGAACTGGTCCTAAATCGTTTTTCTTTTTTGCTTCTGGTAAACCATTTTGCCACCAAAGTGTGTTTCCAGCCGGCGGCGGAGCGAAGCGGACGACTGAATCTAACTTGACTCTCGTTCTCTTGTTGCCTTTGGGCCTCTCCCGAGAAACGATTCTCTGGCTCTCTGCTTATTTTGGCCGATCCTCTGGTACAGAAACACGGTCGAACCAAAACAAACTGCATGACAGGCCATCACTTGTACTGGGACTGAATTATGACAGGACCCGGGGAACGAGCGTTTATAAGTATGAGAAGAAATTTAAATACTTCTTCCATAAAAAGACAGGATCAGAGGGAAAGAAGTTAGAAGTTTGTATGTGGCTTAATTTAGACGCCAAGTGGATGGAAAAACTGAGTCAGAGCATTAAAGTGGCCCAGTAAAAAAAAAATAGACAAAAATATTATCAATAAGTATTTTAAAGATAAAAATACCTTTGTGAAAATACCTCACGTTTGATTTTAATTACGTTTTCTGGTCAACCACGATTCCGAAATTGTGGTGTTTTTTTTTACATTAGCGTAATAGCGACGATGGTTTGTGTCCATTTGTAATGGAAATGCAGGCTGTGTTAATGAAGTCAGGTGGAAAGTAACAGTCTAAGTCCATTTACAGATGAACTAGTTTACAATCCTGTGGTCCAAATGGGCAGTCCGTGTTGACAAAGCATAATGTGCAAGAATATTGGAATGATTAATAGAAAACTGTAGTAAAGAGTTGGTTCATTTTGCAGGAAGTCTCTGTTCTTCCTTGAGTTTATCCACGCAGAAACAACGTCTGTTCAGACTTGTTCTCTCTTTTGTTTGTTGTTGTTTTCTGGTGTTTCTTCCTTCCCTCCCCACCGACTAAAGATGAAAATACTTTATTAAAAAAGGAAATGCTAAAGTGGAGGAAGACACCCTGGAACTGTGACCCTGAGGCCATATAAAGATTTTGTAATCTCAATGCTTCAAAAAGAAAGAATAACGCAAACAAAATGGCAGAAACAAAGCACGTCTTCTCTCAGCAGATCCTTCAACCAACACCAATCGTATGTTGTCGACAAAGAATGAAGACCTTATAAAACCTGACCCTGACCTCTCACCCCCCACTAGGTTTACATCATCCTGCTGTCATGTCTGAAGCGGCGCTGTCGCGGAGCTGCTCATCAGATGGACGAGAGCCAGCAGGGAGGAAAAGGAGACTGGAGGGAAAAGTGTGGCTTCAGCTCAACATGATGCCTTCATACAGAGTGAATGTTGTGTTTTTATCCAGTTTAATCAATAAACCAATTTCATTTGCACATTTCAACAACAAAGTTGAAAGTGTTTTACATCTTGAAAGCTTTTCTTTCTTCTTTTTTTTTTTACAGCCGTGAATTGTGAGTAACATTTTGTCAAGTGTCATCAAAATCATCAACACACATCAGACATGTTGGTCGACGTTCCAGTTACTATGGGTCAGAAGGCAACTCTGATTAATAACTCTGTTAGACAAACATCTGCGAAACCTGAAGTAAACAAACGTTTCAATGCGAACCCAAAACAAAAAGCTGAACTGCTAAAGCTATTCTAGATTATAAACTATGTGATTCTGTTCCCCCCCACATTGTGCCCTATTGGTCTGGAGTTGGTTCTGCTGGTACCCACCCAGTCTGTAGTTCGTCTTCTGGGACCATGGCAGCTCCGCTAGCAGCTTACTGAACATCCAGTCAGCCTCCTCTGGTGTGAGGAACCCGGGCCGCAGCCGCAGCCTGAACGCGTTCAAAACAAATTTTATATATATATTGATACAATCATTTTTATGGTTAGTGATGAGGTACACGGGATGAAGTAAGTAACAATCAGTACGTTTTAATTTATTTACATTTGATGAAGATAAATTTGATTGTAGCCTCTTTCTGTTACATGTACACATAAGACACGAACTAAGACATGATGACGTTTTTATTTGTCGAAATTCAAAAGGTAATCCGTGACCGATTGTTTGAGTGACTGCTGCCACCTAGTGGACTCAAACAGCCACTGCAGATTGGTTTTAGCTTCAACAAGTATGGTGGATTGTTTGTTTAAATGTCTGGTGCTTAAACACGTTTCCTTCCTCACTAGCAACGTACTCACCAAGACACCCCAGAAGGCCCGAGACTTATTTCATAATCACCCAAATGTCTGTTGAAAGAATTTATTTTGTTATTCTTTGTTCATCTCTGTTTAAAAGAACTGAAATCTTAAAAATATTCCCTGTAACAAAGGGTCAAATATGTGCTTTCAATCCAAATAAGTCTTAAAAACTGAACCAGAGTTTAACTTACTCTATTACTTTCTCTGGAGGCACTTCTCTTATTGGCTGCAGGGATTGAAATGACAGGAAGTTTAAGTGTATTTTAAACTCAAACACAGCTGACATGGATCAGTTTTATAGTTCACCTTGGAGGGTTTGTGAAACTCAAATGCTTTAGATGTTTTCTGGTTGCCAAATCCCCATGTACCAGAGGCGGCGTTAACATTTTTGGGTTGATTGTTTAGGCTGCTCGCTGTAAAGGGGGAGAAAGAAAAATAAAAAATAATAATAATAATAATAATAAAAAAGGCTCAGATTTTCTGTCTATTATCCTTTGTTTTTAGAAAGTGGTAAAATGTGCCTTTCCTTTGATTTTGAATAGTTCAACTACTATAGAAAGCAGAATTGCGAGTCTCCAAGAAAATAAAATATTAAAAGGGACAATATTATGTATTTTCTGGGCACCTGGTGCCATCTTGTAGCATAAGTGACTATGTTACCTTCAGTTGTTACAAAAACGCGTATATGTCAAATATGACTTTAAAAAGTGTTGATTTTGTAACTTAATGCTTTGAAATTAGGTCTCTGTCTCTTTAATAAACTCCTGCTCTCTCTGAAACTCTTCTTTCAGAAAGTCATCACAATACAGCTTCTCTATTAACCCTTTAACAAAATTTTTACCAGTGATGCTCTGAGAAGTAGCTCCTATAATGAGCTCAGTAGATACACATTTCCATCAGGTGTTTGCTAACTGATGAAGGCTAGTCTGAAGGAGCTGAGTGGGGGAGTCACAGGAGAGGGCTGAAAGCTGTGTCCTTCAGGAGGGTGTACAATTACAGCACGATGTAAAACTCAAAAAAGACAATTTTACATAATACTACACCTTTCCTTCAGAGTTTCCACCTCAGAGCAGCCCTCCCCTGCTACTTCTCTCCTCAGCTCCTTCAGATTAGCCAGCAGCAATTAGCAAACACTTGGAGGAACTGGAAGAAGTAGCTCATTATAGGAGCTACTTCTCAGAGCAAAAGCAAAAAAAAAAAAGATGTTAAAAGGTTAATAGAGGAGCCATGTTGTGATGACTTCAGGAAGAGCAGGAGTTTTTAAAGAGACAGAGGACCAATTTCTCTGTTTAAAAGAACTGAAATCTTAAAAATATTCCCTGTAACAAAGGGTCAAATATGTGCTTTCAATCCAAATAAGTCTTAAAAACTGAGCCAGAGTTTAACTTACTCTATTACTTTCTCTGGAGGCACTTCTCTTAATATGACTTCAAAAGTCAGAACTTTTGAAGTCATATTTGATATGTACAGCATTTTTATGACAACCCAAGGTAACTTAGCAACTTGCTTGTGCTATAAAATGACACTATGTGGCTGGGAATTACATAATACTGCCACATTAATTATCAGAAATGTCCATTTTCACAACTGAAAAGGAGACCTTAAAATTACCAGTTTGACTGTTTGAGGGTTTTGGCAGCTGTTTGGCCCAGGAACCCTGGACTCTTGCACGCTGGCGCTTATCTGACATCCCATCCAATCTGCAGTCAGACAGAGAGATGAATAAACATGACCTATTATTCACATTTAAGATCATTTCTTCTCAAATTAAACTAAATAACACATCAATGCTGTTGGATATGAGTGTTTTTATTTTTTATTTTATTGAGCAAAGTCAATGTCTTCCTTTGAGAATCCTTCCATTGATTTGCTTAGTTGTAAGATAGAGGCGGAGTGTCTTTGTCCACAACTAAACACTTCTGAGGTAAAGATGCGATTATGTGATGTAAAAATTGAAAAGAAAGAAAGAAAGAAAGAAAGAAAGAAAAGAAAAAAGAAAGCTGCCGTATGTGAACGTGGAAGCATTTTTATATTTGTTTTTTTCAGGAAGGTAGAGTTTTATCTCGATTAAAAACCGATTTACAACAACACATGAGAGCAAATAGAAAAACCGAGCATGACCTGTAGATGAAATTAGAAACACAGTAAAGATACAGAGCATTCTAGCTAGTAGCCTTACGTCTGCAACATCAATGCACTCGCTATTAATAACGCAAAAGTACTCTTAAATTAATAAAATACGTCGAAAGATAAGATGCCCTCAATAAAGTGGCTCTTCTGAAGCTTTTAGTCAGACTGTCCGAACAAATGTAAGCAAAAAGACTCGTGCATTGGGAGAGAAAACAGCCAGTCTGTTAAAAGTTACGTAAATATTATTAGAAGCTGACAGATTTATGAAAAACATCAAAATAAAAACCTTCAAATACTCACCTAAATACCAGCTCAAGTCAAGAGAGACTTACAATAATACTGATGTCTGTCAGCCATTGCTACCGTGTTACAGAAAAATAGATCCTACTTCAAACTATCAAGCCTCATCAAGGTTCCTATGCAATGTTCATGTCTATGGTCTCAATCATGTAATACATATACCCAGTTCTTAATGCGTGCACTGTACCTAAAAGTAACACCATATTTCCACCTGAACATATTATTAAGCAATAATTGAAGTACTTTTAAGTATATACGTCATTCTGTTTTACTTCATGGTCACTGTTAAAGATAAAAATCTAAACTATTTAAGACCAAATCGAAGCAGTTTAAAGATCTGGACATTTACATAACAAGGCCACTGTACTTCAATTAAACTGTACAGAATAAATTTCAATATTTAGAAATTGTTATTTTTATTTTTTACAGGGGTGTGTCACACTTTCAAGTCTCTTAAAAATATAAAAATATAAAAATGCCTTTGACACACTAAATGGATCAGGACATAAGATGCAAAGATTGCATCTTATGTCAGCATGCTGGAAAATCTCTATTACGTTAGTTTTGGGAAATGTCGTCTCTGCTGCCCAGATATTGAGCAGTTAGCATGTCATGGCAGTCATGACACTGCTGCCTAGTCTTCAGAGTCCTTATCAGATTTGTTGCAGGACCAGAGATCATCACTCCCACATATTTATCCCACCTTTGGGATAAATAAAGTATTTCTGTACTGGCACAATTTTGTGAATAAAATCTGAGAATAAATGTTAACCAATAAAACACAAGAGATACTAATGCTGTCAAATCTGACTTCTTGTGATCACCGTCATGTATCTGTTCTGGCTTAGATCAAATCTCATAGTATTAAAACATTTAAAATCTAAATGTAACATGGGCCCCAGATTGTTCAGCATAACATTCACTCATCTCCAATCCTTAAGCACTGTATGGTATGTGAGATCATTTGAAAGAAAAATAAAACAGCTTCTCTGCCTTGTCCCAGTACCAACTAAAAACAACCAATCAGAGCCAGGAGGCGGGTCTTAGCGCTGTTGATCTCTCCTGGTGCCCTCACCCTCTTTACTTGCCCTCTGCTGAAGCTTTTTCCCGTCAGCCAGTAGTGAATGCTAATGCTAGTTAGCATAGCCACAGTTGAGTGCCAATAAACATTTTCCTATAAAGGCAAGTCGTTTCTCGTTAATATGTTTATCCGCAAGTGCATGAAAATGATTGACAGCAGTAAGACCCTCCTCCTGGTCCTGATTGGCTGTTTTTGACCAGCAGCTGTGCATTTCATCCCACAGCAACAGTAGGTCAGGAGGAGATCGACCTTTTCATAGATTACCCATCTCAACACACGTTCAACTCCATGGGAACAGTTTTAACAAATATGTATAAAAACTATTCTGGTTAAAAGCTTTAACAAGTAGTACAAAACATTTCCAATTTAAACATGCTCATACACACAAAACAACACAGAGCTTGTTCTGCCAAAGCTTTTTATTAACAAACAGAAAAGATAAGCAGAATTAATGCATTTTACATTTGGAGCTCAATTTGTAAGGCATATAAAAGAGTAGAAAAAAAAATTCACAAGAAAACCACAAGAGATCCAGGTCAGGCCACATCATATGGGGTATTGGAGCAGGCATAAAGTATATATGTATATAAAAAAAACAAAAACACTTGCATTGTTCGATTTTGAAAATTTAACACTTGGTGGCATCTGAACTAATCGCCCATAAAAAACGCAGATGAAAAGCTGATGATGCGACAACCCTAGTTTGATATTAAAAAACTCCAGTGAAATATTCGCTCAGCATTTAACAGAGGGATCTGTCAATATTGGAGCCATTCAGATACATTAAGGAAAACTACCAAAAATAACAGTCAAGTGATTGGAAAATAATAATAATAGTTCACTCTTCCCATTTAAGATCCTGCCATGATAAATCAAAACAACCACCCCGTCATTGAATCCAACCGTTTCTAGCAATATTACAAGAAAAGAAACTAAGAATTTGAATAGACTAGCATGGAAGAGGCGACATGTCAATACAAACAACCCACCACAGTGACACTTTAAATGATCTGCAAGACACAAGATCAGCAAACAAAAAAGAGGAATGCAAGTCAAGTAAGACAAATAAACAGGGATAATAAAAGCATAAACTGCCTTTTTTTTTTTTTTAAATATCTCACATTGGTAAAGAGAACTAGGTTCAATGCTGGTGCTGCAGATTTTGTGTTTTACATGTGCATCTTACAAATATACAATAAATAATTATATATAAAAAATATGCCCATCACCATTTTTCACTGCCTACTACAGGAGGGTTTGGTTTTCGATTTGTTTTATTATTTCCACCGTTGGTGTCGATGGAAAAAAGAAGAAAAAACAAACTAGCGCTTTATACCACACAACTTCCTGAATTCTTTGGCCACATCTACCCAGACAGACATCAGAGGCAGATCATCGCAGATTTAAGTCTGTTGTGCACATTTACTCAAGGCATAAAACGGGTTACATTTCAAGGCAGCTCCGGAGGATGGAAGCACACCGACGTACTTCCTTAGGCACAGTCTCGGTCAAAAAGGGAGCTGCTGCCTGCGTCGCCTGCGGCCTCGCCGTTATTCAGTTTTCAGACTGGCTCCGTTCCTTTGCTCCCTCAGCTTCCTCCTGTGCAGGTATCCTGTGCGCTGGAGGCGGTTCATTCTGGCCCCCAGGAAGATTACGATGCTGCTCGGCACCAGCCGGGTGGTCACCCAACCCTGCAAGCAGGAGACAAACGCACAACATTAACCTTTGGAGTTGGTTACATATAGATTAAAAAAATTAAATCAGATTAATCACACTCTAGCGTTGTGATTTATTACTACACTCAACAATGGACGCTTGAAATATAAATGCGTATGGAGTTATGGTTCTTGCAGGAATGGTGCCCTGAGCAAGCCCCTCCTTCTGACACTTTCCAACTAATTAAATGCAAGTAATTATCTGGTGTTTTTTTGTACCAGAAAGCAAATGACGTAGTCTCCCAGGACTCAATAACTAAGGGAAACTTACTCCACCACATATGCATGCCATTAGTAGCAAACTTATTCACAGGAGAACTGACAAGATTTCATTTTATAGTTCTTGGGTGCCCCACTCCTTTATGATGCCGCCCTGAGCAAGTGCCCATACAGCTCATATCAAAGCCACCACTGTATGCACGGTTTTCCACAAAAATGTTTAAGAAAATCTTTATTTTCTCAATCTAAACATGTCTGAAGATTCTCAGTTTTCCAGGTCTTTGTCTCCAGGAAGTCATTTTGTTTTAAGCGTTGACATAGAAACGTGCTTCTCCATGGGAACCTCTGTGATGAGGCAACAGTCGCTCGTCCTCATCCAGCCAAATGTAATTTGCGCATGTGAAATTTCAGGCTCGTATATGTAGATGTGCAAACGTGTGTTGGCAACAAAAAATGTTTAACTTTTGTTGCTGCTGCACAAATCTTTCGACTTTTGCCGTTTGTTACACCCCATGTGTTAAGCCTATAATATGCTGCAGTGAACTATGGCCAAAATAGGTAGTTCCATTAATTTGAGTTATGTAATAACGCATTAAAATGTCCAGATCAACTGTATGCATTAACTTTGACAGTCCTCTTAAAATGCATCAAGATTCTGACAAAGTTGGTGGTTAATGTAATTTGACTGGTTTTGTTGCACAAGTTGTACCTTTAATTATGACAGACATTTCACTAGGGGTAAAATCTGGATCATTCCAGGAGCTTGATAGACCGTTTTGATTTGTTTCAATGTGCTGTTGGAACACCCATCTGTGTCCAAATCTGAAACATTTCACTCAAACCGTCAGACTCAAAAGCAAAGTAATCGTACAGTTTGTGCAGGAAGCACTACAGTGCAGGAGTTGAAGCTACAAATCCAAACGCACTTTGCCGATGCACAAAGAAAACAACCATCTTCAAATTTTTCAGCTTCACCTTGAACCACGTCTACAAGAAAATGATTTCAAAAGCCACACCCAAACTTATTTTGTAATGGATAAATCCGGCCAATATTAGCATCCCAGACAAGCCCCCACCTCAAAATCAAAGGAAATTAATAAACTGCTAAATACAAGGGCTGTTGGTGAGGAAACCAACTTAAACCACCATTTTTGATAAACATCATTGTCAAATGTCCAGCTATGACTGAGTCAGAAGCTTGTTGATAGCAACAAAATGTTTCCCAAATATAAAGGACTTTTAAACAAACCTTGAGCATGAAGAAATTTGAACTTTTACACTTGAATTTAGATTTTTTTAAAAATCATTGAAGTGGCTTGTGTTCATCCTGGGCAAATATTTTTAATTCATCCTCAAAAGGTCCAAAACTTAAACAAATGCCAAAAACCAAGTAGAGGAAAACTGTGCACCAAAAAGTAAAAGTATTTTCAAACTTTAACCTGAATAACAGAAATTTTAACTTAGGTATTCTCTTTCGATAACTGTATATATATATATTCGTTTTCCATACCATGACGGCGTGGGGGAAGTAGCCGTTGGTCTGGTTCTGCAGACCCACAGTGTTGAGCTCAGCTGCTACGTAGCGCTCCGGGGTGGGCTTATCCAGGGTGGGCTTCCTGATGCGGGTCATTTTGGTTGCCACAAAAAAGGGAAGCACACTCTAAAAAAATAAAAAGAGAAAAGACAGAATTTTACTACATGACAAGTAGTGGTACAGTACAGAGAAAATGCAGTTCAACTTCAAATCTCTCTCACACTTATGAATACTTTGGCCACAAGGTGGCATAAGTGCACCGCAGTGTTGAACGGAAAAGCCCCGTCTTATGTGAAGCATGTTTCCATCACCAACAATGTTTTAAGCTAAATTTGGCTCTCGGTTCCCCAGAGCCAAATTTAGGCCCGTCACAATAAATCAATTGCATGATAAATTAAAAAGTACCCCAATAATTTCCATTTGCATGATTTATTATTGCTCTTTTCTCTCCATCTCCTTCTACTGAACCCAGGATGACAAAAGTTTTCAGTCTGGTGATTTGGTCACAAATAGACTATTTTTTTAGGGACAATTTTGTTCACAGATTCATTTTATTTA